CATAATAATGACTATGTATGACAAACCCGCAGCCAACATACCCTAAGTGGAGAAAAACTAAAAGAGAATACATGAAGCTCAGGAATAACATTGTTCACTGTCTCTGCTCCTTTTGGGTGACGTGCTTGAAACACTAGCTGGAGCAGTCCGACAAAAACAGGAGATAAAACTGATGCCAGTAGGCAAAGACGTTAAACTATCCCTGTTTGCAGACGGCATTATATTATACACAGGAGATCCCAAAACCCCACCAGAAAACTTCTAGCAATGATCAACAATTTCAGAAAAGTGGCAAGAAACAAAATCAAACTGTAAAACAAGTAGTCTTTCTAGACTAACAACAAATATATAAGGATGCGTCACATGCATCTTGTATATTCTTCCCTTTGCTCCTTTGCTCATGGAGTCCCTTTGTAGTTTAGCATTGGTGGGCTACTTTTCCAAGAAACATATGGTTGAAATCAAGCTTAAGTTCAATGCCCTTTAATGGTTCACCTTTCCCCTATAAGCTACTTTACTCTTTAAACATGTTTTAGCCTTTGCTATTCACAGAATCAGGTGTACATTTCTACCTGTCTTTTGTTTTCCCATTGATCTGCAAGGAAAAGGACTTGTATAGTTAAGGGTCTCACCCTCTTTTATGCACTCCCATATATAGGAAGTGTTCAGTAATGTCCTGGAATTTATCTACAGAAAACTTCTTTTATGATAAGAGTCCTGCTTGCCATGACTGATTTTTTATATACCCTAGAACTTAATTATGATGATGTGTTCAGGACCCACTTATGGGATTGCTTTATAAATGAGAATGTTATGTAATGAGAAATTTTGGTATTTCATTAAGTAAATTCTCTGGGATAGTGTCCAAAATGATTCCTCCCATTAATAAGATTTATTCCCAAATCAATACTATTATAGCAACACTACATAACCCACTGAGCCCCCTGTCCCTCTTGCAGTATTTAAATGTGATTTGCAGGTTACTGCTCTACCCCCCCTCCCTTAGCTAAAGGCTCGTAATAAAAAGGGAGCATCACTCGGGTTTTGGTATGTTACACAGTCAAGCCCACAGTGCCAGACTTCTTCAGTGTAGGAAATTCCTACCCAGTTTCTACTTATAACATTACTTCCTCTGCAACCTCTACAGCATTATCTTTTTTTCTGAACTCTCTTCCTCTCCTGATGTTGATGGCCTTCTTTCTGTTTAACAATTGCCTGTAGCATGAATCTTAAAAGTTCTTATTAATAAAATCAAACCTGAGGCCAGTTATTGGGGTGAAATGCTGGATGGTCAGAGAACCAGAACAAGCCACAACTCTCTCACCTTGCCAGTTCTTCAGCTGGTCCTGTTTCCTCAGACTGGAAGCCTCTGAGTCCTCATCCAGAATAAATCTCAGCTGAACTGTGTTGCTCAAAACCTAAAAGCTTAACCAGCCAAATGCTTAACCAGGCCAAATGCTTCTAGTTTCTGGTCCTCACGCCTTATATACCTTTCTGCTTTCTACCACCACTCCTTGGGGTTAAAGGCTGCTTTCTGGGATTAAAGGCGTGATGAATCACCATGCCTGGCTGTATCCTTGAATACATGGATTTCTGCCTCTGAAATGCTAGGATTAAAGGTGTGTGCTACCACTGCCTGTCCTTTATGTTTAATATTGTGGCTGCTCTGTCTCTGACCCCAGATAAGTTTATTAGCATGCACAATATTTGGGGGAATACAATACCACAATTGCCTCTTCCTAATGTCTGTTTTTATTCACTGTTTGGGTATTTTTAAGTGTGGGAGTGTTTGTTTCTACACACTTTGCATCTTTATCTTTAATTGATCCTGGCAATTGTGGTGATATTTTATTTGTTTTGAAATGTGGTGATATTTTATTTGTGTTGAATTGTGGTGATATTTTATTTGTGCATTAATAAATAAAGCTTGCCTGAAGATCAGAAAGAAAAGGCCAGCCATTTTAAGTAAACAGAGAAGTAAGGCAGCACATGCCCTTAATCCTTTAGCAGGCAGGATCTTTGTGTGTTCAAGGCCACAGTAGGGAATAGAGTCAAGCGTGGTGACACATGCCTTTAATCCCAGTACCAACCATAGAGGCCTGGAGGTCTGTACAGACATACAGAAAGTGACAGAGCTATGTAGGAAGAGGAAGTGAGGTAGCTGTGCTAAGAGAGCCAATGAGAGGGCAGAACAATAAGGCAATAAAGGCGTGGGTAGACAGGAAGTAACTCACTTTGGGAAGCTGCAGAGTTGGTGAGGTAAGGTTGGCTTGTGGCTTTCCCTATTTCCCTGATCTAAGGCTTTCACCCGTATATTTGGCTCTGTGTTTTTTATTTAATAAGACCTTTTAGAAATTTGTCTACAGGCAGTAATTCTTTGTGCATCATGCTAAATTCTCTTCTCAGTCCTGTGATTTTTTTTTTTTGTGTGTCGTCAGGTTGTGCACAAACACCTGCACTGAGTGAGACCAATTGGATTGGGACTAACATCCCATGCAATGGATACAGGAAACCATACACACTTTATCCTGCCTTGCTCCCCTCTTCCCAACCCCTCTTTGTCTTCTAGTTTATCATTCTTCAACTTCCTTCCTCTTTCTTTCAGTCAGACACTATGGTCTGTAATTTTCCCATTTTTACTCCTTGAATTTTGAATCAAGTCCATTATATGCCTCAGTGAATTTTCTGATACTATTGGCATCTGATTTAATTGGTTTGACAAGAATTAATCTTGGGATTTACCTGTAATTCTTTTTGGCTAGGGTTCAAGTCTTGGTTTTCCTGGCAGTCAGTGCCTGAAAGGAAATGCTTGGTTATGAGTATAATGCAGAAAGTCCTTCCAGAGTACATTCACACCATTTGACATGTAGATTGTGCAAACTGATTCAGGCCTTCTCTTCCCTTTTGTCAGCTCTAGTTTCTAGTAAGGCAAGACAGTAGTTAAGGGGATCAGGGGCAAAGTGCTCATGGATATTTCAGTACTGATTCACTCATTCCTGATGTTTTAGGTAATCTGCCCTTGTATAATTGAAAGTCTAGTTTTAAAAGTAACGTGAGGGCTGGTGAGATGTCTCAGTCAGTAAAGGCACTTGCCTCTGAGGCTGATAGTCTGTAATCTTCAGCTTTGGACTTCAGCCTCTGTGGACTTACATAGCCTTTCTTTAAGGAGCTTTCAACCTTCAGGCCTGCACTATGACTACACCATTGACTCTCTTTGTTTTGAGGTTTCTCCACCTTCATGGACTGAACAACAACTGATATCACCCAGCTTAGCTTTCTGGCCTTTGATCACGTGATCCACCCTGATAAACTCCCCCAAGCACATTTTCACCATTTCTGTTACTTGGAGAGCTCTGACTAAAGCAGACATGCTTTAGTATTTGTATTTTTTGTTCATTAAGGAGGCAAAACTTGCTCTGTAGAGTTAATTTTACTGACCTTTGTTGCTATGGGATCTTAGAGTTGTCATAAGGCCTGTGTTATATCACCAGCATGGAGATGGCACCAATCATGCTGCATATTATATCAGAGAAAGGTCTGCTTTATGATTATTCACAGGAGAGATGCCCTATAGACTTCTAAACTACAAATGGAATTACCCCCGTGAACAAGCCATACGGTGTATCATAAGACAATCATTTTTCCCTCATTTTCAGTTGTTGCACTGAGCCATATAAATTCCAACCTTACTTTATAGTTTATCTTATTTTTCTGCAATATCTTTTCTCTTTGCCTCAATTTACTTGATCAAATTTTTATGCTATGGCATACTTATTTATAAGAAAGATACTGTGATTCTATTTGGGAGGTAGAGAGAACATTAAAAATAAATAAGACAATGAGATCACTTGGTCTATTACTTGTGCATATAAGGAAACACCCAAACTGCACTGTTGTTGGGAGCACAGCATGAAGATGCTTGCACTCACAGACATCCAGGAAACCAGGAATGTTAATCCCTCAGGGATGTCTCCTCAAAGGAGGAAATACCTGTTCTTCCCAGATGGCTAGGAGTTGAAGATGATTAATAGCCTGCTGATCTGCGTTATCTGTTGGGCCAGGCCATATCAAGCTCACACATCAGGACTGGAGGTGGCTAGTAATCTAAATGACTCTTACAGCCAGGGGCTCCCTCTGACTCCCTCAACCAGGACCAGAGATACCTAATAGTCTAAATGACCCTTACATTATCTATATAGCCAGAGGCTCCTCCAAGCTCCCACAATCAGGACCAGAGGTAGCTAATAGCCCAAATGACCTCTACACCATCTGTATGACTGAAATCCAGCCAGATCCTTCCCTAGGCCAGATCCTAGCCTATCTCTAGACACCATCTTCTTGGAAGAACTGACATGAACCCTGAGTTCAGTTTTGACGTAATTATGCTTCCTTGTGCACCAGGGATTGTATCACAACAGTAGACTTTTTTCCAGATTGTACTATGTTTTAAATATGCTGGCAAAGAACCACCTGTCATCAGACTTCCCAAGTCTGATCCAGGCTGATGAAATTAATCTGAACCAAGTTTTCATTCTTCAAGGTTTGCTTCCCTGCATGGACACCTGCAAGGTACCCCTCATAGTTACTAGAAATGATGGCTGAGCACTGAAGAATCACTAAGATTATAGCTGTGCTTTTCCTTTCTTTTTATTAAATTTTTTTTGAGCCGCGTGGTGGTGGCGCACGCCTTTAATCCCAGCACTCGGGAGGCAGAGCCAGGCGGATCTCTGTGAGTTCGAGGCCAGCCTGGGCTACAAAGTGAGTCCCAGGAAAGGCGCAAAGCTACACAGAGAAATTCTGTCTCGAAAACCAAAAAACCAAAAAACCAAAAAACCAAAAAAAACCCCAAAAAACCAAAAAACCAAAAAACCAAAAAACCAAAAAACCAAAAAACCAAAAAACCAAAAAAAACAAAAAAACCAAAAAAACCAAACAAAAAAAATTTTTTAATTTTTCCATACAATATATTTCTTTTTTTTTTTTTTAGAACAAAAGGAAAGTCAGAAACTTTCTCACTTATATTAAGTTAGAAAACTACTAAAAGCAACACCTAGGCTCAGACAAGCACCGTGGCTAGGACCTCTGTGCTGTGCAGAGTGATTAGTCCACAGGCCAGACCCTGCAAGTCTCCAACATCGGTGATCAGGTGTAGAGTAGAAAGTGAGCTGGACCACGGATGAGGGCCGGTCTGAGCCTAAGTCACATCAGGAAGCAGACTTTGGGCTCTTTCCCAGAGCACATTCACGGGGAGCCTCGCCTTGAAGTCCTACCCTCTAATCCGCACCCACAGCATCAGGACCAGACTGAGCTGTGAGGACTTGAGCGCTGGCCACATTGGTCTGCGTCATGGCTCCACTTCTGCCAATGGCAGAACCCACTCTGCATGCTCCATCCTGCACAGCAATGGCCTGGGAAGCCACCGGCTAGGCACCCTGCCCACTCTGTGCCAGACACAGGAGTGCCTGTCGTCCTCCCTACACCGGGCTAGCCAAACAAGGGAGGAGACTGGCGTCAACAGTGGCATCAGAAAGCCTCTGCAAACCTCCTGCGGGGGACACTGGTGCCTCTCACACAGGCAGGTGTTTCCAGGTGCTAACAAAGGCCGTGGGGATGAGAGAGTAAGGCACGGTGGTGATGCAGTTCCATGTGTCTGAAGTGGGGTCGTAGTAGTCCAGGGTCTTACACCTCTGCGTTCCAAAGTAGCCTCCCACTACATACAGCTTGTTGCCCGAAGCCAGGGCATGACAGGACATGTGTTTGGCGGTCATGTCCCCAATCCAAGTCCACTGGTTGGTCTCACAGTTGAAGCGATAGGCTGAGGCTGCTGTGTACTCCGTATCACCTCCCATGATGAAGATCTGGCTGCCCAGGACAGCAGCAGCCGTGTATCGCCAAGGCTAGGGACACTCCACCTTGATTGTCCACCGGTTCTCGGAGGGGGCAAAACACTGGACTTTGGACACCATGTCCCGGTGGATGCTGGTCCCTCCGAACACAAAGAGCTTCAGCTTGGCCCTCACCACGGCGGCGTTGCTGACACCGTCTCTCATCGGGGCCACCATAGTCCACTTATTGGCCACGGGGTCATATTTCTCTACTTGTTTCAGGGAGACAGAAGGAGAGGCAGGGAAAATGCCTGCTAGAGATGTATGTCCCTCACCACATAGAGGCAGTTCTCCAGCTCAGCCGAGCCATGGCCAAAGCGGGCAATCAGCATGGGGGCCACCTTGGACCACTCCTCGTGGACAGTGTCAAATACCCAGACATCCTTAGAGACCCCATTCTCAGAGCCCCTACCTCCGGTCACATAGACCTTGGAACTAATCGCTGAGGCACTGAACTCCTTCCGGGAGCTTGGCAGATCCGCCTTGGGGATAATCTCTTTGGCTTTGTGGTCCACCTGGTAGATCTTGTCACACATGAAGGTCTGGCCCCCCAGGATGAGCAGCGTGTAGCCTGGCTTCCGTGGCCAGGCAAAGGGACTGGTGACCACACCGTCATTCTGCAAGATCTTGGTCTTGCAGTGGAAGGCCTCATCTATGATGAGCTTGGTGCGCTCTTCCACCATGAGGAGGGTCTCCCCGGACACGGCCTCCTTCAGGCAGTCCGAGGGCAGCAGGGCCAGCCGCACGCTGCGCAGGAGCAGCGGCAGGTGAGCCTTCCTCTGCTCCAGGTCATGCTTCATCTACTGCAGGATGGCCTCAAAGATCACACACGTTTGTCCTCTGTCTCCAGCTCGTCACTCGAGATGAGGTCCAGCAGCGTGTCTTTCGACAGACTGTTGAAGTCCTCACTGCCGCACCGTCTCAAAGTGCACCAGGCACATGCGGCAGGAGAACTTGTAGAGCCGTCCGCACTGGTGGGCATCGGACAGCAGCATCATGCCCAGGCAGTCGGAGGAGGAAAGGTTCGAAAAACTCGGCAGCTGCATCCCGGAAGTCTTGGAACTAAAGCATGTCACCGGCCTCCAGCAGCGACTCTGCATTCTCCTCGTTGATGACGATGCCAGCAGCAGCTCCAGCACCTCGGGGTGCAGGTTGTCCTGGATGTTGACCGTATCATCCCGGCTTTCAGCAGGCCGTGGCTGAACATGGCCCCAAAGTATCGGCTGGAGGCCGCCAGCACTGCCCGATGGCAGGGAAAGGCGCGGTCACCAGCCCAGAGCGTGACATCAGTGAACATACGTGCTTACGCAGAGTGTTGAGGTGGGCCAGCACGCAGTCAGGGTGCGAGGCCTTGTGGAAGAGGGAGATGTTCATGGAGCCTGTGCTGCTCCAGACTTGCGGGTCTCATGAACACTGACGGACAAGGTGCACCGACCTTATACATAGTAGATGCTGAGATGAATTCAATTCAGTTCAAGTATTTCCAGACACTTACTGCACACTACACTCATACCAAGAGGGACATCTGTGCTGTCTCGCAGAACAAGACACCCTTTGTTCTGCCATAGCACCGAGACCTTCTCCTGATGGTGGGCATGTTCTACTGCAGACCACTTCCGACTGCATTTATCTATGTCTGCAGCTCCAAGGGCAGATTCTCTTGTATATTAGCGGGACCAGCCTTAATATTATGCATCCCAGGGGCTCAGGAGAGAGAACTACAAACAGCGAGGACTATTTTCGGGAAATAGAATCTCAGCACATCGAGCTGTATAGTCCACTTGCTTTAATTCCTGGCATAACAGCCTATCTACACAGCTTCAGTTCTGTTCTTGAGCCTAGCTCCTTTCTTGCCTGATTTCTCTGTTTTTCTACTGCTCCCTCTAAGTTCTATCTTAATTCTCTCGTCTTAATTCATCTAGGTCCTCTTCACCTTGTTCTTACCCAGCTAGGGCTTTCCCATCTGGCTCTTCCTCATCTTCCATCTTGTTCCTCTAGTACTCTCTTCTAGCCCTTTAATCTAGTTCTTCCCCATCTCAGTCTGTTCCTCTCAAGTTCTTACTCATCTAGTTCTTCCATTCTCTTTTCTCTTCCCCATCCATACAATATATTTCAAGCATATTCTTTCCCCTCCCGTAAGTTCTCCCAGATCTTCCCTACCTCTCTACCCATCAAATTTCGCACTTGCTCTTTTCTTCCTCAATAAACAAAAACACAAAACAAACAAGCAGGGAAACAAACCATAACAACACACACACACACACACACACACACACACACACACACACACACACACACAAAATCGTGGAGTCTTTGTTTTAATTAACTATTCCTGAGCATGAGACCTGCCCTGGAGTATGGTTGACATATTCAATGTCATTCCATTGTAGAAAACTAATTTTCCCTCTCCCAGCAAATATCTGCTGCGGGATGTCGCTGTGTATGCGGTGAATATGTGTTGCTCTGATTGGTTGATAAATAAAACACTAATTGTCCAGTAGCCAGGCAGGAAGTATAGGCAGGGTGAGGAGACGAGGAGAATCCTGGGAAGAGTCAGGAGTCACCAGCCAGACACAGAGGAAGCAAGATGTCAAGGCAGAACTGAGAAAAGGTAACAAGCCCTGTTGCTAAACATAGATAAAAATTATGGTTTAAGTGTAAGAGCTAATCAGAGCTAGTCAGTAATAAGCTTGAGCTAATGGCCAAGCAGTTATAATTAATACAAGCTTCTGAGTGATTATTTTATAAGTGGGCCATGGGACTGTGTGGGCCTAATGCGACCAGAGAAACCTTCCTACTACAGATATCAATTGCCAATAGCTTCTTGGTTAGTAGTAGAACTTTGTGTCTGCCTCCTAACTTCCGTGCTGGGATTTGTCTATGTTGAATTTTGAATTTGTATAGGTTTCATGTGTGTTGTCATGGTATCTATGAGTTCACATATGTATCATTCCTGTTGTGTCTGCATGCACTTTTCTTGGAGTCATTTATCACTTATGGCTCTTACAATCTTCCTACCTCCTCTTCGACATAGATCCCTGAGCCTTGAGGGGCAAGGGTTTAATAAAGACATCTTATTTAAGACTGTGTGCCCCAAAGTCTCTCACTCTCATCACATATGTGGGTTTGTGTGTTGATTCTTATCTATTTCAAGAAGTTTTATGATGAGGGTTGAGCCAGGCACTGATCTACAGGTATATCAGTATGTCATTGGGAGTCATTTTAGTGCTATGTTCATTTAGAAGAAAAATAGTGTCAGGTTTTTTCCCCTAGGTCCATGACCTATCTAGCCTCAGGTTCTTGGCTATTTAAACAGTGTCAGATATGGGTTTCATCTCCTGGAATGGGCCTTAAATCTAATTTAAGAAAAAAAAACTGGTTGGTTATTCCTATAATGGTTGTGCCAATATTGCATCAGTATATCTTGCAGACAGGTCACTGTTATAGATTGCACGGTTCAGAGATAGGTGATATTGATGATTTTTTTTTCTGATAGTGTGTATAGTACTTTCCAGCACCAGGAATGATAGTCAGCAGAGGTGAAGCATCTAGTTTGACACCAGCTCAATTTGTATTTGATTATACAAGTAAGTGGTGTCTTCAGCAATGGGGCCTTACTTTCAGGTTGTGGAGGGTAACCAACAACATTGGGAACAGTCTGAAATGTTTGGGGGTTGGGATTCTAAGGGACCCCTTGGCCAACTACTCAGCAAGATGTAATCCATTTTTAGTACTCATTTTTACTTGGTAGCATATGCTGTCTGCTTAGGGCATTCTCTTCCCTTGTTATCTGGCAACTCCATTCAATTTATATATTTTAGGGAGATTCTACAGTAGAGGGTTCCCATATGGTTTTTCACAAGACCGTTAGAGTTAGTTGTCTTTCTCATACTCCCTACTTTGTCCTTTCCTCCAAACCACCTCCACTTCAACCTTCTTGGTCTAGTTTCCTTCTTATCCTTTACAATGCTGTATTCTATTTCCACATAATTGTGTTTTAAAAGCAATGTTCTTATGTATAGAGTTAACATGTTTGGAAAGGAAATATTCAAGGATTTAAACATTTAAATATAAAAAACAATACAGGCCCTTAGACATGTGTGTTAAAATATCTTGAATAATTATGGAGTGAAATTTTCATATGCAGTACTAAAATTATCCCAATAAAAATTAGGCTGGAATATACCTCAGTGGTAGATCATTTGATTATCAAGGCCCTGGTTTGGATCCCTAGCACTGTAAAAACAAAAGAAAACAAAACAAAGTAAAAGCAAGCCCACTTCATATTAAAATATGTATCATTTTTGGTCTTTTGATATTTAAGTCATAGATAGTTTTCAAACTGATTATTCAATTATTCTTATAAATCATTCACGTAGGTTTATCTGAAATTTATTATTTAGGAACACTGTATAATTTTTTTTATTTGTGAAATTTAAAAATTCATAAATTCCATTTATTTTTACACTGTTCAGCATCATGCACATATTCCCTAATTAATATTGCATGCTGCAGAGAGTTTGAAATTCATCCAGATATTTTTGTGGCCTTCTGCATTGCTTCTGGGTGTGGAATATTTACAGCCATATGTGTGCAACTAGGATTCTTCTCCTAAATCTACATCTTTACATGTTAGCAACACTACAGCTGAAGCAGCTTTTAATAGAAAATCCAGACAGAGAAATAATCTGCTAGCTCCCTAAAGGAAAACTGTAAATGGCATAGGATATGTATACCCACATGGCTTTACAGAGGAAGGAAGGGACCACTTGCATTGGGTTGTCTAATGGCTGCATCTGTGCAAAAAGTGAGCTCAAGTTATTTACTATGTGGAAACAATCACCCTTCAATTCACCACATAGTAGTTTTGATGATAGGATACCTACTTTATTTATATAGATTGCAATTTGTATGTGTGTATTTGGCTATTTGCATGTGTTTGTGTGTGATGCAGAGTGCTGTAGCCTTGCATATGCAACAAACACACATGTGAAGATCATAGGACAATTATTGGGTGTCTGTCCTTGCCTTCTATCATGCTTAAGACAGAGTCCGTCCTTGCCACTGTATATACTAGTCTTGTTGATACACAAGCCTCCAGGAGTCTCCCATATCTGCCTTCCATCTTTTTGCAGGAGCTCTGGTATTAAAATATATACCCCTGTGCTTGGCTTTACACGAGTCATGTTTAAATTTGAAATAATAACATCCTGAGAGGTGAATGAAATAACATTAGAAATAATAGTGTTGAGCACTTTACAGCTTGAAGTACTTGCTAATGTTATTTCATTCACTTCTCAGAATGTTATTATTTCTAATTTAAATCTGAAGGAATTGGTAAAGAACTTATCCAATGGCAGATAACCTGTCATTAGAGTAGCAGGGGCGTGAACAGAGGCCCCTCTGGCTTCTGGTTTCTGCTCTGAATCTCTATCACATATTGGCTGTAATATCCAGCATTCATCAGGAGCATCAGTAAACTGTTGTTAAATAAAGTTTGTTGCATAATGGAAACTATATATATATCCATGTGGAGTTTTGACACGATGTCATAATTCCTGCATTGTATCATGTGTCCTATATGGAACACATCTGCTATTCTAACCTGCACTCCTCCTGTGCTTCACTGTGGTCCCCTCATTGAAGAAGGAGCTACTCACAAACTACTGCATGTATGCAGGGTATTTACCCTTGATTTTTGTTAATAACCATTCAAAAGAAAAATATCATTCAAGAGAATCATCCATATCCGAAGGACCACTCATAGAATTCTTTTTTAAGCACAACCCCATTGCAAATTAACAACTTCATTTTTAAGGTGCATGAATAATAAATATTGCTCAAAGGTTTAGAAGGTGCAATGGGCTTAGTAACTGACCTCATATTGCCCCACTGTTAGAATACCAACAACTTTCAGGCTTCCTTGTCTTATAGAAGTACTCAACAAGACTGTCAAATTTTATATATGAAGCTGATGTTTCATTTCTTCGATGAATTCTGATTTTCCTCACTCCAGGACAGGTTTACAACCATCCTGGATAACGCAAATTATCCCAGACCAGAAATGATGAAGGTAGGGCTGGACACTGGACACTGTGGAAGCTCCCCTCTTAGTATTAACATGTAGCCAGAGGCTGAAAACCATCAATCTACTTGGGTCTCAAATTAAAAGGAACTGTTTGTTTTCTAAGCCACAATGGTCTGTGACATGTTTTCAATGCAGTCACTTTTTTGAGTTGCATTTTGCTTTCTTTGATTGACATGCATACAAACCTCTTGTTCTCCAGAAATGCCCTCAAGATGAAAAATTTGAAATCACACATAATTCTTATTTTAAAGTAATTATAGAGCCATGAAAATTGCAGAGAAGCACTGTACCAGACTCTGGCTTCAGTTTCTTCCAAC